GCAAGTGGGGACATGCCACAGGGAAGGGTCCCCTTAAGAACACAGGTATAAAGGAAATAGACATTCACTCTGCAGGTCAAACTAGTAAAATCTATGGCAAATGTAGACAGTTTGGTGTCTGCTGCATCCCCCCTAAACAACGAGCTGTCTCCTGGTTCTGAACTGGAAGGTAAGGGTGGAGAACTCAGAAGCTTGGCTAAAATCAAAGGCCAGCAGAAGTCTGGTGGGCATGACCACTGTGGCCCGAGGAGGAGCCTGTGAATAGAAAGGGCTTCTCTAGGGGCGCCTGGGTGCCTCAGTCAGTTAAGCATCCAACCCTGGCTCAGGTCATGATCTCACTGTTCGTGAGTTCGAGCCCCGCATCGGGCTCTGTGCAAACAGCTCGGAAAATGGAGCCTGCTTCGGATTCTGTGTCTCCCTCTCCCTCTGCCCCTCCCCTGCTCGCACTCTATCTCTGTCTCTCTCGAAAATAAATAAACATTTAAAAGAAAGAAAAAGGGCTTCTCTACCCGGAATGCAGAAATGGGATGTCCAGTGAAACAAACAAGGAGTAAGGGGTTTATCCAACATGGCCGAGAAGAGCACTGGATGTGGAGGCCACCAAGGTTCTGGTCCCTAGAACAGATGTATTTCCTTTCATTATATTTTTAAAATAATTATTTCATTTTATAAAAATAATTTTTTTTATATTTAAGCATCGAGACCAATTAGATAATTCCTGTGAGAGCCAAGCTTTCGTATTTAGCTGTATTTTAGTGAACCAGGAAACCCTGAGTGAGTAGCTCCTTCCGTGGGGCTCTGAGCTCTGCTCCCTGGAGAACTAAGCATTCTGTTCTGTTGGGAGATTTAAATAGGTAAGGTTAACGTATCTGAGGGAGATATGTGTGCTCAGGGGAAGCCGATGGCCAACCCAAGAGAACAAGCATGGAATACCACACTGGGATGAAGACACGGCAGGAAGCATCATGGTGGGGCGGGAATGGTTTGTTGGCCTTCTTCCGCCCTGAATTGAGTAAAACTAATACACTGAGCATTGTCGTGGGCCCAGCACTGGGAAAAATTCAACCTACTCAACTTAAGAAGGTATTATCCCCATTTTGTAGACGAGGAAACTGAGGTGTGGAAAAAGTCAGCGTTTGACTAGCATCTCACAAAGCATAAGTACTGTGGAACCTCAAATCTGATCTTCTCACCTCATGGCTCCTGGACCAGTCAGTGACTGTCCCCCCTAGGCCTCTCTGAACAGGTCACCCTTGCCCTTCCTTCTAGTCTGATTGTGGACATGGCTGTCCACAGCTGTTGAGAATAAAGTTCTGGATGCGATGTCCACCACAGGTGAGTTTGGCCATTGTGATTCAGGCCTCTTGGGTTCCGTCAAGAATAATTTCTGGATATGCAATTACTGGATGACCTCCCTGAGGTCAAGGCCCTGACTTTGAGGCCAGCTGCCACCCTAGGTGACCAGGTGACACCTGGGTCCCACCGCCACAACAGCACCAGCAGTTTGGAGGTATGCATGTTGTCTCCACACCCCTCTCCAGATCTGTCCCGGGAATGCAGGCCAGATTCCTGGGAGCCAGCGCTCCAAGCTGACTACTCAACCGTCTGCACTCACAGGCAAACCTGGATGCAAATTTGCATTTGAAAAGTTGATCTCTGTTCCTGCCTGGGATTCTCATAAATCAAAAGTGGTCAGTATTTACAGCAGAGTCCAAAGGAAGAACTGCTGGGAGAGCCCCAAACATTTAAAACTTCTATATGGGAACCAAGAAAACTTCATCTGAAGACAGGAGATTGGAAGAACTAACGGGCCCGCTTTTCATCTGCTTCTCATTTAGAAAAATTGGACTACTGGGGAAAGGGGTAAAAATAAAAATTGGAAGCAAAAAAAAAAAAAAAAATCTTGAAAGGCAAGCAGATGACCCATTCCGAAACACATAGAGTTTGATACAACCCTACCCTTTCCCGAAGGCCAGTTAATTGTTGGGGTAACTTATCAGGCCGTGGGGGGATGTGACGCAACACGGGAAGCTGACAGAGGGTTAGTGATGACGGCCACACTGTCCATGGGAAGCGGTGCCATTCAAAAGCAGAGGCCGTCAGTCTTAAGACAGATTGAGTTCGCTGTTGCAGCACGACAGGGACAATATTTGCCTCTGTCATGGCACCACGGCAGCAACAGACCACCCACAGGCTGCCCTGGGAAATATATAATTACATGACACGTAATGGGAATTTAGTTATATGTTTATGCAGATATAGACACACATGCATATACACATGTATACACAAACGTACTGGTGAGTGTAAACCAATTGGATTATACTTAGAAAAAGGCAAAACAAACAAACAAACAAACAAAGAACCTCAGTTCCTTGGAGAAGAAGGCAGGGCAGAGATGGAAACAGGAAGAAAAGTGTATCACCTAATTTTTCCCATTACGTTAATTGGAGATCTTAATTTACCAATACCCCTTAGGGACTATTTGTCTTAAATCAATTCAGACGAGCCGATCCCTTGCTGGTCTATAAAATGGAGGTGGGGGTGAGCACTGTCATGAATAGGAAACCCGTACGACCTATCTTTGCATCTCGCTCCCCGCCACAGTGTCTGAAACACAGTTGGTTGAATGGATGAACAAATGAACAGACGTGAGCAAGACAGCAGAATGTTTGATGTGGAAATCAAGTCCCTTGATGTCAGGGCGCCCGGGTGGCTCAGTCGGTGGAACGTCCGACTCTTGGTTTTGGCTCAGGTCATGATCTCATGGTCGGTGAGTTCAAGCCCCGTATCTGGCTCCGCGCTGACAGTGCGGAACCTGCTTCCGATTCTCCCTCTCCCTCTCTGTGCCCCTCCCTTGCTCATGTGCACACCCTCTCTCTTTCTCAAAATAAATAAGTAAAGTTTTTAAAGGCTTTAATATCAAAATGTGAAAAACAAAAATGGCAAGACACATCGCGGATCAAAAGTTCTTTTGTCCAATAAAAAGGACTGGTATTTTTTAATACTCCTCATGGAAACGCTTGAAGGAATTGACATTCAACTGTGACCTTCTAAGGAGCCCTAATTTCTGTGTTTAAATCAAGACCTACAGATTATTTTCAGGGCATCAATCAAGCTTGCACTGCTATGGAATATTTTTTGATGAGTCACTGAACTAATAGTCTGAACTAATAGGTTTTTCTAAACATAGTATATTGGTTACTAGTTCAACCTAACGAAGTCAACTATTGTGTACTATGATGACTGATATTTACAAAATATTATAACTACATAACACATTAGGAGACATATTTCCGTATGTTCATGTCCGTATAGAAACTGAATTACAAATACATTCTGGGAAATCCCACTGTTTATACAATATTTGTTTTGGCTTTCACTATTTCCGCTGCTAGGAATACCATGCCAATGATTATTTTAAAATACGATATTGATTCACTGAAATATTTATCCAGCTCCAGTCATTGGCAACAAAAGGTACTCACTTTCCAATGTCATTCCAATGACACTGTCCTCTGCTAATCAATCAGAATTCCTATCCAAGGAGGTCAGAGGAAAAGAAGAAAACAAACAATGAGGTTCAAAAGGACTAGTACAATCGCTCTTTGTGGACAAAAGGAAATGGTGTTAGGTTCTGCCACAAAAAAAAACGGTGTTTTATTTTTGTGACCTATAGTGCATATACGAAAGGTTGTGAAAAAGGAACACTCACGCCCCCATCCTTTGGTTTAAGAAACAGAACACAACTGCATCCTAGAGGTGCCTCGGTGCCTTTCTTCTGTCACCACGTTTGTTTGAAAAACTATTTTCAAAGACATGAAGGGGTTAAGGTGATGATCATGCATCATCGTGTGACAAAGGTTCTCCCACTTCTAACCAACACGGTCTATACCTCAGGCCCAGGGTTGATGCTTCCTGCCGTGTCTTCATCCCAGTGTGGTATTCCATGCTTGTTCTCTTGGGTTGGCCATCGGCTTCCCCTGAGCACACATATCTCCCTCAGATACATTAACCTTACCTATTTAAATCTCCCAACAGAACAGAATGCTTAGTTCTCCAGGGAGCAGAGCTCAGAGCCCCACGGAAGGAGCTACTCACTCAGGGTTTCCTGGTTCACTAAAATACAGCTAAATACGAAAGCTTGGCTCTCACAGGAATTATCTAATTGGTCTTGATGCTTAAATATAACATGCCGTACATGATTCCTCATCTAGTATCATGAGTACAATTTCTCCCAGTATGGCCAGTTCAAGAATCCCTCTGGGACAAGTAAGAATGCATTCTAATTTAGGAAATTACGGAGGCCATGGATCTTAGAGCGGAAATGTGCCCCTTGGCAACTACCCAACCCAGTTCCCAAGCTGATAAGCCATTATTATTATTATTATTATTATTATTATTATTATTGTTATTTTTAATTTTGGGAAATATAAGATTTTAAATTTTTAAATTGAAGTACAGTTGACATATATAAATTCATTTCAAGTGTAGAGCACAGCGATTCAACAATTATATACATTATGAAATGTTCACCATATGTTACAATACTATCAACTCTATTCCCTATGCTGTACTTTACACCCCCGTGAATTACTTAGTTTACAGCTAGAAGTCTGTACACTACACAACTGGAAGTGTGTATCCCCTTCGCTCGTTTCAGATTACAGATAAGAGAAATCAGGACTAGCGCGGTTAATTCATTGGCTGAAAGTCACGAAGCTTAGAGATCCAGAAATTTCATGTTTCCTTCTTGATTCAATGCTTCGCCCCTATACCATACTACACGTCCTTGCTCTTGGCAGGGGGTGTGCAGGGAGAAAAGGAGAACAACAATAGACATACATCCTACTACCCTAAATGCTCATCCTCGTGACTTCTATCGATATGGATTAGAATTGCTGCTCTGGAAACAGAGTGAAACGCAGAAGCATTAGTTGGTTGGTGGTGGGGATATCCTATACATCTAGAGGAAATCAACTGATTAATTTGTCAGCTTTTTTTTTTTTTTTTTTTTTAAGCAAACTTGAATCTTTTCTGGGATACAACAGAGCATAAACTGATTAATTAGCTAATTAATAATATATGGCCATCTACATCGGTGATTGCATTTAAATTTTACATGCAAAGGTTACTTTGGAGAAAGCATCAGTTCTGAATAAGTAACTTTGCGAGCAAAAAGAGTCTATGGAATGTCTATGCAGGTAATTTATGGTCCACTGTAAAAATACGGACTTTTGATTGAAGAAGTAATCAAAGAGCATAAGAAGTAATGTAATCAAGCCATCAGCATGACCCTATTTGGTATGGTAATAAATTCGATCCAAAATTTCAGTGTATTTCATTTTTTACTATGAAATTTATTGTCAGTTTGGTTTCCATACAACACCCAGTGCTCATCCAAACAGGTGCCCTCCTCAATGCCCATTATCCACTCTCCCCTGAAAATTTAAGTGTATTTCAAATGTATTTCTTAAAGTATAGGGATAATGCTATTAGTAAGTTTCCAAAATCATTTTTTTCATATATACATAAGATGTTTAATATCTATTTTTTCATTTAACCAACTTCCTAATATTCTATATATTTGTTCAATATGAATGTACAATACCACCAGGACTTTACTAAAAATGTTACTAATTCATTACCTTGTGAAAACCATGCATGAAAACCATATCCCACAATTCCTGAGGGAATTTCTGTGGTATTGAGATTTGTCACCTGGGCACTGCTTGGTCACTAACATAGCACAGAGGGAATCTCCATTGGAGAATGTCAGATTTTTAAAGAAAACCAAGAAACTGACCAACAAAACCCTCAGGCCAGTGGAAACCGAAAGGGTAGCCTTAGAAATGCCATGAAATTAATATGATGCGTAAATAAACTGTCTCCCAGAATAAGTCTCCTGCTGTGAGGGTTCTTATATCATCTTCTACCTGCCCACATGTTTTTTGTAAGGAAGAAAATCTCGAAAGAAAGAAAGAAAGAAAGAAAGAAAGAAAGAAAGAAGGAAGGAAGGAAGGAAGGAAGGAAGGAAGGAAGGAAGGAAGGAAGGAAGGAAAGAAAGAAAGAAAGAAAGAAAGAAAGAAAGAAAGAGAGAGAGAGAGAAAGAAAGAAAGAAATTCTGTTCTCCACTTATGTTTAGCCCACTTCAACCCACAACGAAATCCACCAGTACACTGATGGGAAAGAAGTGCCTGTTTCATAACATTTTTAGATAAAAGCCCTTCTTCTATTTCTGTCAGCTGTACTTGCACAAGTGTGGCTGGCGTGTCTTTTTGGGATGTGGGTCTTTGAAGAATTTACTGCCACTTCCTTTTTGTCTGACTCAGTCTGCTTGCCGGTGACACAGTTGCCTTAATTTGCCATTGTCGTTGGCATGGAAACAGCCCTTGAGGGACAGGTGAGGTCTGGACTCCAGTTCAGAGCCCTCCTTTTCATGCCAGCAAGGCTCAGACCAGTTCCTGCTCTCCTGTTCTGACCCCCAAGTATCTACTGCCATGGAGGATGTAGGGACATGTTCGCTTTAAAAGAAAAGAACATTAAGGTCTCTACAGAGGGGTTTCAGAGTCAGGCTTACAGCCTGTATCCCATCAGCTGCTTTAGAGACAGGCTCTGGTATACCTCTGCACCCCCAGGGATCCTGGCATGAATGCAGGTGACCATGGAGTGAAGCCCCAAGTGTGAGGTGCTATACTTGAGGAATACAGTCGCCACCAAGAGGCAAAGGCCAAGCCTTTCCCTCAACTTCAGGGTAACCAACAGTTGATAAGGGAAAGTTCTTCTCTATAGAAGAATTCCAGGTAACAAATGAAGAAGAAATGATAGAACTAGAACATCACCTAAAGAAAGAACTGATCTAAGAAGTTGTTGGTGAGGGCCACTGACCCTGGAGGGTAAAGGCTCAAATTGAGCTTTATGACAGAAGCCTCAGGATAAGCCCTGAACCCAACGTTCAGTCCAACATCACAAAATTCCCGATGTGATGCCAGAGAAGGACACAGAACCACCCATGATGTAGTCCTACCAAACCAAACCCAGAACCTGAGTGTGCTCAAGGCTATAGATGTAACGCCTGGTTAACACAAAACCCAGGGGCCAGAGGAACAGGCTAGATGACACCATGGGGATGAAGTCAGCAAGTTAGCATATGAAAAATCCTACTGGGCAAGCAACCTGGTTTCATTCGCAAGGATTGCAAGACTTCAAAGGTAAAAATTGAAAAGAAGGACCAGGAAAAAAGACTGACCATTAAAAAAGCTGCACAAATGCAATGTGGGGGGTGTGTTTATACACTGATTCAAGCAATCCAACTGCCAAAAAAGGTTCCGAGCTTTCTGGAGAGTTAGTCTTTTTGTCTTACCCGATCAATGAAGAGTCATTATGTCACGTAAACAGAAGCACTGTGGCCTTCCTATTGAGGATGTGCCAACTAGAAAAGGCAAGGGACCACTCATAAATACACCAGCCTGCACAGCATCCACGTGTCACCACACCGGCCACATTGCAGGGGAGGGGCAGTCAGATGACAACCACGACAGCAACCCTGGATCACCCCCTAGGCACCAGAGACCACCTGGACATAGCCAAGGCAACTATCCATTTGGGATGTGGTGTTCTGGAAAGGAGTCCTGAAGATGTGCAAGATTCTCGTCAGAAAATTATAAACCTGAGGCACAAGAAGCAAAGGACTGGAAGCGATGTAATTAGACTTGGAAATCCACGTCCATCTCAAATGACCTTGTCAAACCCTTCAAACTTTAAAGAAGTCCATTCAAGGATGCCATACTCTCAAACTGGAATTATAGAGGGGCACCTCTTTGGAAAGGTTGAACTTAACCAGCTCAGGCACGTTAAAGGTTAAGTCAGGCTGGGGAGCCAAAAATTCTAAAAACGGTGGGCTGACCTTTTCCAATGTCTGTATAACTTCAAAGACTGAGATGAGGAAGGAAGTTCAAGTGGATGCAGTTCTTACCCAGTAAACAAAAGTTAGCCCAATTAGAAAGAACTCTTAAATGTTAAGAGACTTTAACTTAATTCAGAAGGGGTTGGGTCTAGTTAGAAGACCCCTGAAGTCCATCAACTGCAGGAGTCTACAGTCATGGGCAGAGGATTTTCCACTGTCCTTTCTCCACCTCATCCAAGGGCAGAGGCCACCCATCGGGTACAGCCCGAAGCTGCAAAGCAGGGGATGGAACATGCTGTACTGCAGGAATCAGGTAGCCTGGAGAGGGGTGGTCACTCCCTGTAGGAAAGACCATTCTCATGGGCAATGCATCAGCTAAGACAGGGACCCCAAACTAGGAGGATCTAGTGGGCTGGCATTTCCCTGCCCACCCCAGCACCTCCAGCACAACTTTCAGCCATAACGGAAATGTTCATACAGCTCTAAGTGGCAATGAGCATGTGAACTGTGGCTGGTGTTACCAACTAACTGAAGTTTGAGTTTTATTTAAATTAACGTCAATAGCTTCCTGTGGCCGGTTATGAAGAGAACTCCTTGTGGAATGTATCCCAAATACAATCCCCAGGCCCTATAACTGGCAATTCTCATTCAATAGAGAGACACGGGGCCCGGCATCTGCCTTGGGAACAAGCTCCCCAGGTGATCCTCGTGCTGGTGGTCCCACGAAAATGCCCCAGACAGAGTTGAAGGAGGGTAAGGTTGTCTGTAGGCACTCCTGGCAGAGGGAGCACCCGCTAGATGGAGACAGACTATAGGAAGGATGTGGAATAGGTCCTGGAGCAGGCCTCGAAGCTACAGGCTCGCCCCACTGTGCTCCCACCCAGATATCACAGGAAACACTGACAGTGCCTTGGGTTGTGACAGCCACCCAGACACTCTCAGGGTCATGGCCAAGGCCTCACGATGTCCCATCCACCGCAGGCTGGTGCACTTCAGCTCACAGCCCCCGGACATTGCTATACTTAGGCCAGCCACAAACATCCACAGATCCCAAAGAAATGTCATGCCCCATTCCACATAATAACCTTCCACAGGTCACCTCCCGAGGGGATTCTGTTAGGCGCAAAAGTCCACGCTTCTGCAAGACTTTAAGGACTGTGCCCACCACGATCCACGTCTTGGTGTCCCCGGCCATTGCCCAAAGGGCGAGTTTTGGGTTCTTTCCTAGGGTTCTCTATTCTGATCACAGATTATCAATGTTCTAGCATTTCCTGTAGAAGAGTCGCCCTTTCCATTCCCCAGGGCAGCCAACTGCTCATCACTTTCTGCCCATTCTCGCCGCTGAACGTCTCTCATCTACCCCTTTCTGCGGGCTCTCTGTTGCTTGGAGCCATTACCTGCTCCTTCCTGTGCACCGGCGATAAACAGCCTCCCGTCCAACCCCACTCTTCAGCTTCCCCAACCTCATCTTCACGTGTAGCCAGAATGCTATTTTAAAACCTGAATTTTATAACGTCATTGCCCTACTTACAGGCCTTGATTCCACGAGGCACCACTGTCCCTACGAGAAAACACTGAGGTCCTTATCACGGAGCACGAGGTCCCGCACGGGCTGACGTCCACTTCTCTCAGTGTCTCCCTCTTGCCCAGTAGCACACCGACTCTTAGTTTCTGAAATGCTTCAAAGCTCCTTCGCCCCTGCCCCACGACGTTTATGCCAGCCCCTCCTTCTCTGGGAACCCTCTACCCTCTGCCCTCCTTTGCCTGGCTTGGTCCGATTCATGTGTAGTTCAAAATGTGCTTCCTCACATGCCTTCCTTCCCTAGGCCATGCCGGGCCCCACACTGTCTTCCTCGCTCTCAGCCCCACTCGCTGTCTTCCATTACTGTTTTGTGATGGCCTGTGTAGCATTGGGCTCCTTGACTGGCTTCCAAGAGGACAAGGCCTTGACCTTGTTCACTCTATCTCCAGTGCCAACCCCAAGTGTCTGGTACTAAATAAACATTTGTGAACAAACGACTAAGTGAACAAAGAAATGATTTCATTGATTTATTATTAACTCATTATCAATCATTTGAGTTAATAAAGATTTGTAGATGGTGGAAGGGAAGCAGCTGAGAGACAAAACCAGGCAAGTAGACAGAAGACTTTCTGAGATATGGTTTTGTCCCTGGTACTTGAGTCAGTAATTAGACACCCGCCCCCCCAAACCGGCAAATTAAAGCTGGGGGTTCTAATAGGCAGGCTGGGCTTCCTCTGCAAGAGTAGAAATTTTTTAAAAAAACAGCACTCGGTGCACCAAAACTTAAAAATTTTTAATTCCTAAAGATGTCAAGATTGGGGCGCCTGGGTGGCGCAGTCGGTTAAGCGTCCGACTTCAGCCAGGTCACGATCTCGCGGTCCGTGGGTTCGAGCCCCGCGTCGGGCTCTGGGCTGATGGCTCAGAGCCTGGACCCTGTTTCCGATTCTGTGTCTCCCTCTCTCTCTGCCCCTCCCCCGTTCATGCTGTGTCTCTCTCTGTCCCAAAAATAAATAAACGTTGAAAAAAAAAATTAAAAAAAAAAAAAAAGATGTCAAGATTGTGAAATTAAGAGCCAAAAGCTTAGCACGCTAATCCTTTCCAGCTCTTGTCAGAATCAGGCTATTTGGCTATCATCAACTCTCACAGGCAAGATTAGGCATGATCTGATCTCCACTAATTTAAGAAGTTTGAAGTAGATCATAGTTTCGGTGAACCCAAAATATACTTAGGCGAAGTAACAAATATTGCTGGGTGCACAGGAATGGGTCACTGAGTCATCCAAACCTGATCTCGAAAACCAACACGAGCTCGAATCTGTTAGCGCTGAGCGTGCACAGACTCGTCTTCCTTCTCGCAGATGAGAAAACAGAGAAGGCAAGCTTGTGGCTGGAAGCAGAGCTGGGTTTCAAAGCCTGGTTTCTTGACTCCAAGCCCTGTGTCTCCTTGAATAATTAGTTTCTTACACCACCCAAGACAGACCCTTAACCTCCTGGTGACTCACTTCTGGCTTGGTCCAGACTGTCTGCATTCCGTCCTTCCCTCACACGGTAAGTGCTTAACAGGTGCCCACTACCAGCCAGACCCTGGGGACGCAGGTGGAGGAGGCAGCTGAGACCCTGGCCTTAAGGACATCGTGGAGCGGCACGGGGGGGGGGGGGGGGTGTTCTGGAGGGTTCAGTGATCCGACAGGGTCACCGCGCGGCAGGACAACAGCCACTCTGGTTTAGGGCCACAGCACCCCTGCACACACACGGGTGGCAATCACCTTAAAGCAGCCACACGGCCTCAGGGGCTCATGTTGAGTTTGTGGGTCTCATTCATGAGAACTACGAGTAAATTTCCTTCTGAACTTACGTTTGTTTTCCGCTAACCCAAGCATAGGACTTTACATTTATCCTCATTAAATCTCACCTTGTTGGTTTTGGCCCATTGAGCCACACTGCTGAAATCTCTATAATCCGGATTCTGTGACGCAGAGCAGTTAGCCCTCCAGCCTGGCGTTGTTAAGAAGTGTGGTCAGTGCACCTCCGATGTCTTCATAGAGATGGCTCAGGAAATTGCGGGCCAGGACGAGGCCTCGGACACAGCCCCGGGGCCACTGACCGCATCTCAGTCCGGCTGTCCAACATGGTTTGGGTCAACATGAACCATGGATTCGTATTCAGCCCACCCCTAACCTATCCGACGCTATCTCTGCACCGGCCACGTTTCTCCCTCCTGCATCAGGATGCTCCAAGAGATGCTATCAAATAAACACCTGCCCAAATATTTACTCCCATGTCTGACAAATTTAAAATGCCCTTTCTTCTACCGTTTGAGTGAATATTAATTAGATTGGCCCCTTAAGAGAGGTCTGGAATTATTCCAGACGGAATAAAAGCCAACGCCGGAGTTCCCCTAGCGCGAAGACCGGCAGATATAAATTCAGCGGGCCGTGGACCTTCCCGCAGCACCTGCCTCCAGTCAGTGATGGGCCAAGGCCTAAAACACAGAAAGCTCGGTGGATCTGACAGACGGGGGGAGTGTGATCTCCCGCCATCACTTCTAATTATCCTAAACTGGAAAAACGGATGTCTAAGCTGGCCAGCCTGTCCAATAAAGCATTTTGATCAAAGATGCAGTTGCACAGAGCACCTGTTTGAGGGATGGCCTGAGAGCCCACGGGGACCCAGGAGAGTTACGATAAGTCATAAAGCGGTCCCCGCAGCTCTGTAGGCAGACAGCATCACTGTGAAAAATGCTTCTCCAGGGAAGCTTTGAGTTTCTTTAAACATTCAATTATGGCTATACAAACACAGATTTTAAGTGAACAGCATCCAATCTTTGCACAAATTAGGGATGCTAGGAGGCAAATAAAAGAGATTCCCTGAAACAACTATTGAATACAAATCCTGCCCTGCTTCATGTAGAACTGGTGTACGTGCTGAGTTTTTGAGGAGGGTTAATTAGGTGACCCTCTTTTAGTATTAGCTTTGGGTTATATGGCTCTTATGAGTTGAGACACTGAGGCTACCTTTATTTTAGTTATGATTTCCAAGTCGGTTTTTAATTAAAATAGATTTCTGAATACTTAAAGACCCAGGATTCGATGAACAGAGCTTTGTAGCCATTTGAGAGTTGCTGGAGGCCTTTCTAAAACACAGCATTTCCTTTTTATGACTAATAAATACTCCAATATTCTTCTTTTCAACCTTTAAGCTTTTACAAATGTTTTTCCTTCAATATAAAAAGTTTTCCTAATTTTAACAGTAATATTTTCTTGTTGTAAAACATGAATAAAGTAAATTTCTTCCATAATCTTACTGCTCAGAGCTACCTGTGCGTGTGTATAATTTTTAAATCAAAACTGAATAATACCATGTAAAATATTACCTAACATGCTGTTCACATTGATTACATCGTGAATTCTTCTTACAATAAGAAAGATCCCCATCGTCACCTTTAATTGCTGCACAGAGTTCTCTATTTCATGGCTGGGTCCTAATTTATTGCATCAATCTTCTCCTATCAATTTAGGTAAAATATTCTGCAGTGAACATCCCTGCACGCAAGGCTGATTCCCAGCCTGCAGGCATGATACAGGGTACTGACAGGTTACCTTCTGGTTAGCCAGGCTCTCTACTGTGCTGGTTAAATATTCACATTTATCTTGCGTGAACATTTACCTTTGAGTTCTTATAGCTTCATGTGGATAAACTCTCTAATTGGATCTATTGGGCCAAAGGCTATGTGAATGAAAAATTCTACTTTATCCTGGACAATGGATTATATTTTGTGTCTAACAGCATCAAGGGCTAGAAAGGTGCAAGCATTTCGCTCTGCCTAACAAATGGCAGATTTTTGGTATTATCTCAAAAATGAAGTCGACATGGAACAGACATGTAATTTTTCTCAAAAAAAAAAAAATATTACTCGGAAGTATTTCAGGGAAATGCAACTTTCAAATAGTAATACTGGCATGCTCTAATTATAAAAATGTTATTTTTAGGAGAACAGAATCTCTACGATTGTAGTATTAATAAGTGGTATAATTAAAATAAAGCTGTAGAATGTCGTAGAAACATACCCAACACTCTCCATGTACTTTCTAAAACGCCAGTTGACAGGGAGGGTGGGAAGAGAGATATCAATCAAGAAGCGATCGTTTTGTTTTCAACTTTTCTAATCTTGAGATTATTTTGTGAAGGGCCCAGAATTGGAAGTGAACAAATGAAGGCTCCCTTCAAAATGATCTTTTATACAAACTAGCCACTGTGCCACAGTCACTGCGTATCATACGATCTGCCTTAATAGCCAGTGAATCATTTTCGAAAAGAACCACGAATGAGGCTAGTGAGCCACTTACAGACTCAGAGAACCAGATGGGCACTAAGGACTGCATTTCTATACGGAAACGCCCATTATAAAGCTAAAGGAAGAAGTACACAGACTACGATATCCACCAAGAAGACAAAAAACAAAAAAAACAAAAAAACAAAACCCTAAAGCCTTATTTATAAGGAAAAAAATGTATTTGAACAACCCTTGAAATATTAATCAGGATTGTGTTTGGTAGTAGAAGTATTTTATTTTTGGCTCTTTGTTCTTTTTTTTCCTCCTGCAATTTTCAATTTTCTACCGTGGACATGTATCCCTTTTAGAGTAAAAACAAATAAATTAAGGTTTTTATTAAGTGGATTTCCGTTCTCCTATCTGGAGTCCTACCACCATCTGAAGGTCTGGGATGGGTGCCACTCACACTGTTCCCCACGTCTCCCAAAATTCTGACAAAAGGAGAAGCCACCCAAAGCCAGCAGCAATCCTAAAACCCCACTGAGGACATGATCACCACCAGAAGCCTTACTCTCTTTTGCTCTTTCAGGGAATGCCTAGTTTCGTCCATTGAGATAGTTGGAAACCACCTACGAAGAGCAATTTACAAAACTTAAAATGTCTCATGGCATTCTTACTTGGAAAAAAAAAAAAGACAGATAACATATTTACTTCGCTAAGAGAAACACAGCAAAGGCAGCACAGTTTTCTGCCCGGCAACCTGCTCATCCAAGATGCGTGCCCGAACCTCTGCTTTAAGGTCACCAAGTCACGAGGAAGGCTAAAAGCACATTATCTACTGCTAACCAAAGCTTTACCTTTTTTTTTTTTTAATTTTTTTTCAACGTTTATTTATTTTTGGGACAGAGAGAGACAGAGCATGAACGGGGGAGGGGCAGAGAGAGAGGGAGACACAGAATCGGAAACAGGCTCCAGGCTCTGAGCCATCCGCCCAGAGCCTGATGCGGGGCTCAAACTCACGGACCACGAGATCGTGACCTGGCTGAAGTTGGACGCTTAACCGACTGCGCCACCCAGGCGCCCCAAGCTTTACCTTTTTTAAGTCTATCTCTTTCAATGTTTAATTATTTTTGAGAGAGAGAGAGAGAGAGCGCGCGAATGGAAGAGGGGCAGAGAGAGAGGGAGACAGAGGATCTGTAGCAGGCTCTGCACTGACTGCAAAGAGCTCGATGTGGGGCTCGAACTCACCAACTGTGAGATCATGACCTGAGTGAAGACGCTCAACCAACTGAGCCACCCAGACGCCCCTTTACAAAAGCTTTCACCCCATTTAACAGTGAGGGGGTAAACACACAGGAAACATGAAGAGGCAGGTTGCAGGTCCCCACGAACAGCCCATGCTATCCTATTTGCTTGGGACCCTCAAATCAAAGCACGGAGACAGTAAGCGATCTGACCTGCTCACGTGGAGACACAGAGTCAGATTTTTGCGACACGTGTCTCTGGCAGAACTCGTTCCAGGGAGGCTCTCTTATCTACTCTGTCACTGCAGCAAAAAGTCAGCACTTCCCTGATACGTGACGAATAGGACCCAGTAATTCTAGAAGACAGAAACTCCTTTTTGAATCATGCGGCACTTGGTAACTTGATTTACAGCTTTAGCTACAGATTGCTTATTAGGAACACACAGACCTTTCCTGATACTAATCAAATAGCATAGTAAGGGGTCCTTTGGGTCTGAGGAACCCATGGGGAGAGCCAGGGTATAAAGGATGACAGGAACAGGGCTTGTGTTACTTTACGCCTTGAAGTAGACACAGTTTTCTACTGGGAAGCCATACAAAATATGTAGTAATATTCATCTGCTCCAGGAAAAGAAATAGAATACCATTTTTGGAAATTCATATAATTTTGCAAAAAAAAAAAAAGGTCAAATTTTTAAACAAAAAGATAAAATAAATACTTTGTACTACTGGAGACAAGCTCTGAAAGATAAATAAACCCTTGGTATTTCTCAGGGGGGAAAAAAAAGAGATTCTATTCATTTGAAGCAATTTCTCCTTATATAAGCCAGGGATTGCCAAAAGCCAACTAATTATGGAACGCTGTTATTTGAACAGAAGATGCTTAAATTCTACCCTTGACAAATCAGGCTCTGAAAAAAAAAAAGGAACATCAGAACTCGGAGAAAAACCTGCTGATTCACAGACTTCTTTCTTAGAGTGATACAATTCTTCTGTTTTTCCATTGGAATCATGTCTTCAAGTGAATTCCAGCCTCAGATCCAAACTGGATTATGAACCCATGCATTTCATTCTGTTTCTCTAAACGCCAAGGCGGGTGACACAGCACGTTGAGCCCACGGCTCCTCACTTTCTCCTGCGGCGCGGCAAACAAGAATGAACGTGACTTACTCGTTTCTTTCCAGGTTTACGATCAGCTCTTTGCTTTCCAGTTGTATTCGAATATTCAACACGTCCGGATGATCCTGAAAGATAAATAAGAGAAGTCAGCTGAGACACGTTTCACATTCACTTGTCAACGTTTGACCCTGCTCTGAAGGCACATGCCATGGAGGCAGAGAAAAAACACATTTTCTTCTTGGGACCGGTCTGAGACCCCCAAGTGGAGGAGACCAGGTCAACCAGGACCAGAGTCCGGAGGATGCAGCGCCTTCCGGGACAGCGTGAACACGGCCTGCACCCCTTTCCTTTGGCCACATACCCTGGAGACCCTTCTTCACTCTCCCCACCTCCCACGATCAAACTCCTTCCTCAGTTTCCCTGTCTCCACAAAGGGCATCTTCATTTCCCTAACTGCTCGTGTCACAAAGGTGAAGACCCGTCTGAAACCTTCTTCTCTCTCTCTAGTTCCTCCTACTCCATGAAGATCTCCTTCGGGGCTGCCCTCCAAACTGCAACTCCTGTAACACCTTATACACCTCTCCACCCCTCTCCAGGTCAATGTGCAGTCACTCTCACCGGGATTCCTGCAAAGCCGTCCTAACCTGGGTCCGTCCACCTCTGCTTTCTTCCCATTCACTCTCCAATGGCAACGCGAGCGTGTTTTGAAAAACACCTCCTCATCAACCCACCCCCTTTTGCAATGAGCCCGCGCTGGCGCTGGGACTTCAGGGTCACCGCACTGGCCTTGCCAGCTCCTCAGCCACACCGAGCTCCTCTGCGGTGCTCATCTTCGTGCATGCTGTTCCCGCAGCTTGGAACGCTTCCCCTCAGCTATTCTACTCAGTTCCGGCTTAAACGTCGGCAAGTTGAGGAAATCTTACCTCCCTCCTCAATCTCATTGCAAGCCCATCTTCCCCGGTAGGCTTTCTTCTAGCCTCCTGCCCTTTCCCTCCCCGTAAGGAAGAACTTCCTTCCTCCTTGCGATAACTCAGTATGTTGACTTCCTCTTACTTATTATGTCCACAAAAGCACCAGAGAAACAAAAGAAGCCCAATTAATAGTTGGTGAAGGAAGGAATCAATGAATAGGGCACACATCTGTGCCAACCTCTTCTTCTTACGAGGCAGACACTCTCCTCTGGGCTCCAGGAAACCCAGTTCACGTGTGCCCATCTATCAGTGGGGGGCAGGCACCTATGTTCTCTGTTGTGTCCCAGAAATCCCAAGGAGTTTCTTGCCCTGCCCTGAGAACGCACCTGTATGACAGTGTCCCTTAACCCATGCCCTGCCAACCCAGGGCGGTCACGTGTGCCACACTCCTACTTTTGAGCCCAACCATTCAAAGTCCTTACCCAAATCAAAATTTATTTGCTAACTCAAAGGTATTCTATGAAGCCCCTCGGTGCTCCCTTTCCTGCTGTGCACCCTTAGAGATTCTGGTACAGTCACTTCCAACTCCCCTTTATCTAGGCCAGCATGTCTCAAATGGGGGGTTTACATAGCCATGGGGCATTTCTCACTGGGAGAATTTAAAATTCTTTAATTTAATTTTATAGAGACAGAGTGAATGGGGAGAGGGGCTGGGGGAGTGAGGGAGGGAGGGAGGGAGAGAGAGACAGAGAGAGAAAATGAATGAATGAATGAATCTTAAGCAGGTTCCATGTTCAGCATGGAGCCCTATATAGGTCCCAATCCCATGGCCCTGAGATCATGACTTGAGCCGAAATCAAGAGTCAGACACCCAACCAACTGAGCCAACCAGGCGCACCATCAATGTTGTTTTAAAAAAATTTTTAACGTTTATTTATTTTTGAAAGACAGAGAGAGACCGAGCTCACATGGGGGAGGGGCAGAGAGAGAAGGAGACACAGAATCCGAAGCAGGCTCCAGGCTCTGAGCTGTCAGCACAGAGCCCGACGCGGGGCTCAAACCCACAAACCGTGAGACCTGAGCATGAGTTGGATGCTTAACCGACTGAGCCACCCAGGCGCCCTGTCTAATATTCCAGTTTTAAAAGGCCCTATCATAACTCCAGATTTCAAAAGGCTGTTCTTACAACACAGCATTTCATCTACACTGTGGATTAACTAACCACATGTTACTATGTTACAGGAGAAAATGGATTCTAAGTTCCAGCATCCAACATGAGTCAAAATGAAACAAAACACTCGAGTTTTGGGAAAAGGTTAAAACATGCATTCACTAGTGCCATGTGACTAGGATAGCATCATAAAGGGTGAAACAATACGTAACTTTATTTTCAGGGCTGCCCTTGGCACATGTGGGTAGTTTCCTACTTCGAATATGGTCACCATTAGCCACATATGTATTTAAATGTAAATTAACTGAAATAAAATTTAAAAATCAGTTTATCAGTCTCACTGGACTCATTTACATTTTAAAAAAAATTTTAATGTTTATTTTTGAGCGAGCGAGCGAGCAAGCGAGAGAGAGAGAGACAGAACGTGAGCAGGGGAGGGGCGCAGAGAGAGAGGGAGACACAGAACCCGAAGCGGGCTCCAGGCTCCGAGCTGTCAGCACAGAGCCGGACGCGGGGCTCGAACTCGTGAACCACGAGATCATGACCTGAGCCGAAGCTGGACGCTTGATGGACTGAACCACCCAGGCGCCCCTTCACTGGACACATTTTAGACTTAGCAGCAAGATGTGGCTAGTCACTGCCACCACTGGACAGCAGAGCAAGAGAACGTTCCTACCTTGACAAAAAGTCCACGGACATTTCCGTCTTCATTGAGCATCTCTGAGTCAGTAATAAAGACCTAAAATTTGCATCATTCAATTGCTGCCCAAGCAATAGATGATTGTAAATATTGGTGCCTCAGGAGATATAATTAGGTGCAACCCCAAGTGTTTTTGTTTGTTTCAGTGCACATTAAGAAAGCTCTTCTCGATTTTAATTGATGAGTGATACCATTTTTGAAGAAGTTACTTAAGCTTGAGAGTTAAAGTGGTAAATTTCCATGTAAATGAAATGCTTATATATATTTTCTGGGTTTAAACAGACCTTGTTTTGTACAGATTCATTCCAGCTAATGATGAAACAAACATCTAGCGATGTAAAAATTACACGTCTTAACTGATGTGTTTTGACACTATCTGCTGTTCATAAGAATCGTATGGATTTCTGAGTGTTTGCTGGACTTTTAATTTTTTTTTAATTTATTTTTGAGAGAGAGAGAGAGAGAGAGAGAGAACACGAGACTAGGGGAGGGGCAGAGAGAGAGGGAGACACAGACTCGGAAGCAGGCTCCAGGCTCCGAGCTGTCGAGCCTGATGCGGAGCTTGAACCTACAAACCTGTGAGGTCAGACCTGAGCCGAAGTCAGATGCTTAACTGACTGAGCCACCCAGGCACCCCTGTTTGCTGAACTTTTAAAGTTAGTATTCCTATTCCAATCTTATGCAACATTAAACACACGTCACTTCTTTAGATTTTAATACAGTGTGTAAAAGTGCTTGTAAGTCCTGGATTTGCTCTTGAATCTGTCACGGTGATTTTTGCCTAAATGCTCCTATATTTTCTGACACTGAGATTTAATTACAAATATGCATAGAATGTGCTCTCCAGGGCTTGCAATGTGTACTTATCTCAGAAAATGGAATTATTAGTTATGTTTACAATAAAATATTGGAACAAAAATACGTCTCAATATTTTGTCAACGTGTCCCCAGCATATGTATGTATGTCTATTGGCATGTATCTAATATATGTGTATGTGTCAATAACTTAGTTGCTTTAATTATAAATTGTCTTTGCCTAAGACATTGACACATGCATCATATTTTAAAGGTCAATTCTGACAATTATATTTGTGAATAAAAGTAATATGTTTGCATTCCCACTTTTTTCCTTCTCCTAAATTTAACTAGCTTCAACATTAACATTTATACTAATTCCACATGAAGGCTCTACAGGGGCTGTGATAACATTCCTATGTCAACATCTTTCAGATGAATACATTTTTCCCTAGGGAGGCAAAAAAAAAAAAAAAGATCTTTATGCGTACATTTTAGTTGAGATGATGATACAGGAGAAATCAATGGGGAAAAAGAACAGAGAGCTATTTTCATGCAAAACCACTAAATGCATTAGATTGCTTAGCTTAAAAGCATGTATTCATTCCATTTTCTTTTGATTTTTATGCACTGGAGATAATGAACTTAGTGCTGGTTAAATACAGCATCCCTTTTCTGAAAAATGATATACTGATTACCCTAATGGAACTGTGTCTTTTATTGAATGCTTCGAGAACTACATTTGCTGAATAAATCAGTTCGATGCTAATCAGTAGGGGCCAGAAATGTTTTGATCGTCCCCGTAATTCTACTTTTCCAATTGGGAAGAGCATATCCAAATGGGTATATAAAATGCACCACTACAATGTTAAAAGAATAAAATAGTTATTCGGGTGCCTACCCCGCAGCTGCAAAGTCAAAATACTGCCAATATCTTAGAAGCCCCCTGTATCAGTTTGTGAAAGTGGCCGTAACAAAGTACCACAGACTGTGTGGCTTAACCGACAGAAATTTATTTTCGCACAGTCCTGGAAGCTTGAGGTCCAAGGTCAAGGTCAAGGTGTCTGCAGGTTTGGTTTCTTCTGAGGCCCTTCTTCTTGTAAATTCCTCACGGAAATTGGGCGGCTCCCCCACACGCTGTGCTCGGGTAGTTCTGCAAAGTAAGGCGCCAGCCAGAACAACACCGCCCTGGTTTTACGTATCCACGGGCATTTCTCACCAGGAGAATTTAAAATGTTCTCGCGGTCCGTGAGTTCGAGCCCCGCGTCGGGCTCTGTGCTGACTGCTCGGAGCCTGGAGCCTGTTTCAGATTCTGTGTCTCCCTCTCTCTGACCCCTCCCCCCTTCACGCTCTCTCTCTGTCTCAAAAATAAACGTAAAAAAATTTTTTTTAAATAAATAAAATGTTTTTATTTTATTTTATTTTTTATTTTATAGAGAGTGGGCGGGGGACGGTTGGGGAGAGGCAGAGGGAGGGAGAGGGAGAGGGAGAGGGAGAGGGAGAGGGAGCGGGAGAGGGAGAGGGAGAGAGAGAAGTCATCTCTGGAAC